AGTTATGGTAAAAGAAGGGTGACAGCTGGGGTGATTGGATGTAGCCGTGTGCTGTATTTCTGTAACTGAGCCAACGATCTGCAGGCACACCAGGGTCTATGAAGACAGGAGATGCAGCTTGACTTTTACTGAATACAGATCTTACCTGTCGGGGAGTGAACACCCTAACAGCTTACATCAGTGTCTGGAGAGCCGTAACGGCTATAACACGTTTCAATGGTTTTCAAGCTCCCGCATGCTATGGAACGTGTGTGAAATTCCTACTCTGGATTTGGGGCGGGGAGGGGAAGATGATTCACATCTTCCTAGTTGCCTCCGATGCTTGGTAATTAAAGGCAGTCTTTAATGAGACAAGATAAATATAGTGGATGCAATTGTTTTTTTCTCCTTGGAAATACAATCTCAACTCGTGTTACACCCAAGAATGAATGATAAGCATATTCTCAGTGGTGACGTGTAGCACAACTCAGACAGCAGCCTTGGCCAGTGGCGGGAAGCACCTGAGTACAAGAAGTCCTATAAGTTACTGAAAAATTTATTGCAAACTACTGTGCTTGAGAACCGTACTTCTTATGTTGCAATGAAGTTTCTCAAAGGGGGGTGGAGAAAAAGCTACAAAAAATAGCGTATCTTAGGAAAACAGAATATAAATGTCTTCAAACAACTTAAGCGGAAAGCGGCTGAGTATCTGGGTTTGGTTTTTGCTGTCACTTCCGCCTTTCTTTAATTGCCGTGAATTAAACCACCTTTACTTTGTACTGAAATGTATGGATGAATTCTCATGGATAGTAACCACCTTGACTGGAGGGTAGCATCTTAATAGCGATGTGGTTGCAGGAACGTATCTGATAATGCCTTCACAGCATGCTGGAACCTAGTGTTTATCTAGACTGCTGCGATAGCTGCAGACTGCCTTGTCCTTGCTAGAATTTCGCCTTGTGCTAATTAGGTCAGACTGAGTACATTTTTCTTCCCTGGGTGAGGTAAAGTCTGAATGTGTCAGTCAGTAGAAGGAGCGTTGGGTGCTAGGTGGGACTTGAGGTGGCCAATGTGTTATTGGATTAAGGATATATCTTTCAAGATTTGTGTTTGTCGGAAAGAAAAAGGCCCGTCCCCTAGCAGCAGCCTTTGCAGGAGGAAGATTTGGGGCAGGGTTGTCTTTCGCATGTTCTAATTTCTGCTTTGTTGCACTTGTCCCTTTCGTTGGATTTTTGATTAACTAGTCTGGTGCCCTCTTTGAGGGTTGCTAGTGATGCGTGAAACGTTGCATGGGGCAGTCAGCATGGAAGTAGGTTCTTTATAAGGTGAGGGTCAATGCAATGGAGATACCTGCTGTAACGGATGCTTTTGTTCTGGGGGGTGCTAGTGAAGGGGCGTGCTGCGCTTTCAGCCACCGTGGAGCGGTTTTGTCCTGGTGAGAATCCCACAAACCAAACTCTCGTCTCTTCTGTACATCAGCGGGCTTGTTGTCACTTTGATCTCTACTGAAACATGGGGAGAGAAAGTATGGTTTTGCCGGAAAAGGAAAGAGAACTGAAAGCTAAAGGGAAAGCTATTTGCATTAAGTTTGAACTGTTAATGTGAAGGCTGCTTTTCTCTCTTTAGTTCCGCTAGAAAGCAAGGTGGTGCCTTCCTACCCTTATATTTTAGGTTGTCGTAATAGGAAGCACTTTGTTGATCAAGACAAACACGCCCTCCTCCTCTGATGAATTTTGCCCAGAAGGAAGGGAAGAATAAGGCATTGTGCCTGAAACCAACTCCCAAACTGGTGGTAGTGAAGGGAGGGAAGGAGAGCAGAAAACGGGGAGAACTGTCAGAGTATTTGGAGAGTTGAAAATTGTGTTCTCTTAGTGCCGTTCCTCTAAGAGGAAGCCTCTCAGAGTTGCACTCTTCCCAGAAATCCCTCCCAGTTTTGCTAGCTTCATATGATGATTCACTCCTTTGTCTTCTGCTTCCAAGCTGCTTTTGGGGAGGCAGGCCGCTTTCTGAGCACTCCAAGATTAACCATGCCCTGCTGTTTCTGTAGGGGGTGTCCTAAGAGAGTCTCCAAAACTCTGTCCAAATGTCACAGTGTCACATCCCCCACTAATAAAGGCACTTCTGGATGGCAGTGGGGAAGAACAAGTGCAGAGCAGCGACGTACAAGAGCTCAGGACCGGATACGAGTGAAATGTGTGGTTGGAAATGACAAATGTAGAGAAGTGATTTGCTGGAGTATGTACTTTTGGTGGTTCATTCCAGGGAAGGAAGCAGCCCTTCCCTCCCCTGTTTTCAGGCCAAGGAGGTATTGACACTGTACTTTCTGTAGCCTCTGAATATAAGGGTTATTTTCAGGAAGTTTATCTCTGCTTTTTTTTATACCTTTTTTCCAGCAATCACTGTAATTAATGAAACTTCTGCTGCAGTATGTGTACTATGTTATTTCTTCAGAAACAACATAGCTCTGCCTATGCTTGTGTGATAAAAATGCTGTATTACAAAGAGGTGCACTGCAGTGCATCTGTCTTCTCCAGACGTACATACATGCTGTAACGTGAGAGAAGCTGAAAGCAGTCTAACTGCTTTTGCTTCTTCTTTGGGATATCGGTGAAAAGAGTGCAGGGACGTGGATGTGCTTTTCACTGGGGCAGTCACTTACCGCGATGCCGGTTTGAAATGCTGACCCGAGGTGATACTCATAGTGTTGAGGTTGCGCGACAGCCTGCTGGGGATGGGAAGAGAGGCTGCAAAAGCATCTGCAGGAGTCTGAATGTCACTGCAGCTTGGCGGTGCTGGCTCAGGGAGGGTCTCGGGGGAACCCCTGGCATTTAAAGCCTGCGTGGGGGCTCCAGACTGTTTCCCAAACGATGGAGCAGGCCTCCGGCAGAGGCTTCGAGCACACAGTGCCTTCGGAGTTGCAGTGTGAGTTTTGGTGTGCTCAAAATGGCTGGTTTTTAAGTGAATGCAGCATCTTGGTCCCACTCTGAGAGTTTTTGGAGGATCTCAAAAACTAAACACCCCCTCACAGCCCCCCAGATGTGTGGTGATTATTTCTGGAGATAAATGGTGACCAGGAGGATAACTGTTCCCTTCCCCCCTACCTTTGGGTTGGGAAGCTCAGGCTCCTCTGATGAGCTCACTGATTCCATTGCCATGAGCTAGTAAAACGGTTGCTCTTAATCCTGTCCGCAATCCCAGGCGACCAACCTCCTGCTTCCCGGGGGAGCAGCTCCCGAGCCAGGCACAGGCAGACTGTTGATGGGAAAAGTAGTTTACACATGCAATTTATTATTGTTTACACAGTTGATATAGAACAGTTGCTTGCAAAAACCGATGCCTTATAAAGGAAACTTGGACTGTAGACTTTTGTTTGCTGGTTGTTCAATTAGAGGATCTGGCTGATGTTGCATATGCAAATCATTTATAAAGTGATCTGCAAAAGGCCACTTTGTTGCATGCGTTTGTTTCACCTCACTTGTTTTTATAAGGTCCTTAAGAGCTCTCTAAGAACATAATGAGTAGTACTGGCCTTGTGTCAGAAGCTTGGCTATGATGTGCAGGGTGAGGACATAATGCTGAGCTCTGCTGGGCTGGCTTTGTGCCGCCGTGCCATTAGGAAGCACAGGAACTGCTGGAGCCCCTGGGAGCTGGTCTAGAGAGGCTGCATGGTCGAGCTGGTGCAGTTCTGCAGCTTTGCAGCACAGGACACCTGGTTTTGACACTGTCTTTCTGTGTGTCCTTGAACAAGTTCTCTCTGTGCTGAGCTGCT